TTGGGTCCTCTGGCGTCGGCTGTTAGGTTAGGAGAGGAAATTTTCAATTAATGGTTTTCATGACGTATTGAAACCTTAGGGGAAGTTCCTGCCCTCCTAACCTATCACACCCTTTAACCCTTAACTTGCTGTTTTGGAAACAAAAAATCTTAAATTTATTTTTAAATGTTTTTCATTTTCAAATTACGTTTTTTTTTTTTTGCCGTAGCGCATACGAGCAAAAAGCGACGTAATGTGTAAGAGGACAGGATCCTCCAGCCACCACCATCGCCACCCCAGCGTGGCGATGGTGGTGGCTGGAGCCACCACAATCGCCACCCCAGCTACCATCATTTCCACTTCCAACGAGATGATAGGGAGCTCGTGAGGGAGCTCACGACCGCTTGGCCGACCGGGTCGTGAGGGAGCCGGTCGGCCGAGCGGACAGCACGCAGGACTTGTGATCCTGTGGTCCTGGGTTCGATCCCAGGCGCCGGCGAGAAACAATGAGCAGAGTTTCTTTCACCCTATGCCCCTGTTACCTAGCAGTAAAATAGGTACCTGGGTGTTAGTCAGCTGTCATGGGCTGCTTCCTGGGGGTGGAGGCCTGGTCGAGGACCGGGCCGCGGTGACACTAAAGCCCCGAAATCATCTCAAGATAACCTCAAGATAGTGAAAATAGTTGTAGCAATGATTTATAATCCTCCCACCAAACAATAGAAGGCTCAGGGAAGAACTACAGCTGCAAAGAAAATTGTTAGAGTTGATGGGAAAAGCAGCCACTGAAGCAAGGGGGAACAAGAGCTAAAATCCTAATACTGAGAGACTTTAACCACGGGGAAATAGACTTGATAAATGAGGATCCCCGCGAGGGTGATGAGATGTGGAGAGCAAAACTGGGAGACATGTCACACACTTCATAAAGCAACATGACATGGAACCAACAAGAGTGAGACGAGATGATCAACCACCAACACTAGACTTGGTATTTCAATAAATTGATGAATATGTTGAATAAAAAGAGTATGAGATGCCTCTAGGAGCCAGCAACCACTGCACTGTCATGGTTGCATATATAGTGGAGCTGAAGGATTTGGTTACACAAAGAAACCCATTGAAGAAGAGAGAGTATAGATGTGGGGACTATGACAGGACGAGGGATTTTCTGCGGGAAATTCAATGGGAGAGAGAAATGGAAGGGAAGACAGGGGTATGATAAGATGGAATACATTGCTGGGAAATGTGCTGATGTAACAGAACAGTTCACATCAGTTAAGAAGGAAGTAAAATACGTAGTTCAATAGGCGATGCAGGGAAGCTAAAGGAAGGGACAAAAAAAACTTGGAAAAACTAAAGTGAAACGGGCGGAGAGAACAATAGAGAAACACTAAAGAGAACAAGAAATGAATACACGTGAGTTAGGAGAGAAGCCGAGAGGTAATTTGAAAATGACATTGTTGTAAAAGCTAAGGAACAACCAAAGCTGTTCTATAGCCGTATAGGAAGAAAAACGACAGTGCGAGACCATGTACTGAGAATGAGAAAACAAGTGGACGCTCTCACAAAGAATGATAATGAGGTATGCGAGGAACTCAACGAAAGATTTCACGTCTTTACATTACAACCATCGTTCAAAATTTACCCCTGGAATCATTCCATGGTATGGATATGTTGATGATAGTTTGTGTATATGGCCTACAGATGTAAATACAGAGGAATTTGTAGCTAGATTTAATGATCAAGTCACCTCTCTAAAATTTACTATGGAGACTGAAATAATAAATGTTTGCCATTCTTAGATATACTTATTCATAGGGAAGATTTTTCACTGAAGTTTAGTGTGTACAGAAAGCCTACGAAATTTTAAGTTCATTATTTCTCAGGGCATAGATACAATGTGAAACAATAATTTTTTCTCTATGTATATCTAGAGGATATACATAGAGGGAAGTATCTAAGAGCTCTTCGGGTTGTGAGTCCAGAGTTCTTTGATGAAGAGAATATTGATTCTATTGGTCTCAAGCTTTGTTATCCACAGTTTTTTTTGGAAGTTTGCCGCAGCAAAGCACGTCGTACATATTATAATAATATATGCAGTGAGAAAATTCACCCAAAGAATGTGTTATGTTTACCATATTTTTCTGTGTTTGAAAATATTGTTAAGGCCCTGAAACTTATTGATATACATGTATATCAACATATATAATTACGAAAATACTGTTGGAAAACTATTAGTTGGAAACAGTCTTCGTAGTGATAATCGTGTCAGTTATAAAATATCTTGTCAAGACTGTAATAAGTTCTATGTAGGTTGTTCTATGTTCTATGTAAACATAGGACGACTGGTGGACAGCGCTTCGGATTCGTAGTCCTGAGGTTCCGGGTTCGATCTCCGGTGGAGGCGGAGACAAATGCGCAAAATGTTTCACCCTGATGCCCCTGTTACCTAGCAGTAAATAGGTACCTGGGAGTTAGGCAGCTGCTACGGGCTGCTTCCTGGGGGTGGAGGCCTGGTGGAGGACCGGGCCGCGGGGACACTAAGCCCCGAAATCATCTCAAGATAACAAGATAGGGCAAACATCTAAAGATTTGCAATTTCGAGTTTCGCAACATAAATACTCTGTAAGACACGGCCAATTGTCTAATGCTTTGTTCATTTATCAGAAAATTCTCACCAAATTGATTGGGAGATGGCTTCTCTAATAACGAATTGTAAATCACTTTCAATAGGAACATAATTGAATCTGCTTTAATACAGATTTCAAAATCATGAAATCTAAACATTAGCAGTGGTTTGTATAATTTAGATCTATTTTTGACTGATCAGTTAAGGGGTAATTTGAGTAGGATCATTGATACACATTTGTCTTACTAATACCTTGTTAATATTCACTATCTAATTATAGACACTAGAACATAAGAATAAAGGTAACTGCAGAAGGCCTATTAGTCCATACGATGCAGCTCCTATTTATATCCTTTTTTGATCCATTGAATCCCATGCTCTATGTACCTCACCTCGCTTCAACTCTTTTCTGCCTATATATGTCCAAATTCCTGACTTGTAAGTTCACCCTTCTGAAGATTTATTATTAAATACGAAAGTATTTAAGGAAATTCCTATTTCCTTTATAGTAGCCAGAACACACTTCTCAGCCTACTATGCAAGGCCCGATTTGCCTAACAAGCCAAGTTTTCATTAATTATTATATTTTCTCTAATTTTTTTCTTATGAAATGATAAAGCTACCCATTTCATTATGTATGAGGTCAATTTTTTTTTATTGGAGTTAAAATTAACGTAGATACATGACCGAACCTAACCAACCCTACCTAACCTAACCTAACCTATCTTTATAGGTTAGGTTAGGTTAGGTAGCCAAAAAAGTTAGGTTAGGTTAGGTAGGTTAGGTAGTCGAAAAACAATTTATTCATGAAAACTTGGCTTATTAGGCAAATTGGGCCTTGCATAGTAGGCTGAGAAGTGCGTTCTGGCTACTAGGTACGACATATATATATATATATATATATATATATATATATATATATATATATATATATATATATATATATATAAATATATATATATATATATATATGTATTGGAGGGGATCTAAACATTCCCTCTAATGCGTTATGCGTGGTTTCCTCCGAGGCTATGGGTCCCCCTTCTTCCAGCTAGAGGTGGTACTCTTTTTCTTATATATATATATATATATATATATATATATATATATATATATATATATATATAACTGAAAACACACACCCCAGAAGTGACTCGAACCCAAACTCACAGAGGCCACGCAACTGGTATGTACAAGACGCCTTAATCCACTTGACCATCACGACCGGACAAAATGAGGTGATAGCCGAGGCTATTTGAACCACCCCACCGCCGGCACTCGGATAGTAATCTTGGGCATAGCATTTTACCAAATCACCTCATTCTTTGGGGCACACGTGAGGAACACAAATGCGAACAAGCCTGAATGGTCCCCAGGACAATATGCAACTGAAAACTCACACCCCAGAAGTGACTCGAACCCATACTCCCAGATGCCACGCAACTGGTATGTACAAGACGCCTTAATCCACTTGACCATCACGACCGGACAAAATGAGGTGATAGCCGAGGCTATTTGAACCACCCCACCGCCGGCACTCGGATAGTAATCTTGGGCATAGCATTTTACCAAATCACCTCATTCTTTGGGGCACACGTGAGGAACACAAATGCGAACAAGCCTGAATGGTCCCCAGGACAATATGCAACTGAAAACTGGCGGTGGGTGGTTCAAATAGCCTCGGCTATCACCTCATTTTGTCCGGTCGTGATGGTCAAGTGGATTAAGGCGTCTTGTACATACCAGTTGCGTGGCATCTGGAAGTATGGGTTCGAGTCACTTCTGGGGTGTGAGTTTTCAGTTGCATATTGTCCTGGGGACCATTCAGGCTTGTTCGCATATATATATATATATATATATATATATATATATATATATATATATATATATATACACACACACACACACACTATTGAATATAATCAGGAGATGGCAGAATCCTATTCTGTACCGAATTCTATATTTATTAGGATCTTCTTCACTTGGAGAGGAAGTTGAAACATTTTCTTTCGTCTCCTCTCTCTCTCTTTCCCTTCTCCCTCCGTTTCCTTTCCCGTCCTTTTCCTTCCTCTCTACCCCTCTACCCCGCCCCTCTTTTTCTCCACTAATGCATTTAATTGTTAAGGCTTTTAACACTTTGTGATGATAATCACACTCCGTAAGGGTGTGACGTCTCCATGCACCTAATGGTAGACACGCTGGACACACGAGGCGGGACCAAAGAGCCAGAGCTCAATCCCCGCAAGCACAATTAGGTGAGTACACACTATTGTGGCCTCTTAGGTAATAAACATTTATATAGACTAAAGTCCATTATCAACAGCAGATTATTTTCTTGATGTGACTTTTGGAGTGAGGCGTTGGTGACCCAGGGCGCGTGTCTCTCCTCCCTCAGGACTACCAGGTGGACCTGTACCTGCGCCAGGAGTGGGAGGACGAGCGCCTCCGCCACCCGGACATCACCAACCCACTCGACCTCAATGACCCCAACCTGGTGAAGGCCATCTGGAAGCCCGAGGTGTACTTCCCCAACGCCAAGCTGGCCGAGTTCCAGTTCGTCACCGTGCCCAACGTCCTGGTCAGGATCAACCCCAACGGTCACATCCTCTACATGCTCAGGTAGGCCAGCCATCCCCCTCTGAACCCAAGATGACCACCCACTCCCTTGCCAAGACTGTAGGGCGACGGTCTCGCTTCATGCAGGTCGGCATTCAATCCCCCGACCGTCCACAAGTGGTTGGGTACCATTCCTTTCCCCCGTCCCATCCCAAATCTTTATTCTGATCTCTTCCAAGTGCTATATAGTCATAATGGCTTGGCATTTTCTCCCTGATAAATCCCTCCCTCCGTCCCCTCTCACACGACACATGTCGTGGAAGCAGAGCACGACCATTGTGTGTATTATTGTATGCTCTGCTCTACCTTTATATGGTGTTATTAGGCCTACTCCGGACCCGTGAGCAGTTGGTGACTTCGTGCAGTGTGATTAAGGGTCCCTGAAGTGTCACTGATCCCTACAGACCCCACCATACACCTGTCACTGAACCCCTACAGACCCCACCATACACCAATCACTGATCCCCTGCAGCTCTCACCCACAACACACCTGTCACGAGTCCATGCAGCCACCCCCACCACCACCACACATCTGTCACCTCTATTTATACCATGTGAGCTCTGAGCTCTCTCATGTCTCACTTGCTCTGTGATCCCAGTCAGATTTCTCTTACCTCAATGTTCACATTGTAGTTGTTACTCATTATGTCAATCTCATTATATAATTCCTCCACATATGCTGGGTATGAGATGAGGTTGTGTCAGGTCGGTCGTCAAGGAGACCAGAGTGGTAATTAAGGGGAAAGTGAACGATCAGGAGAAAGCACTAAACCATTACGACTACATATTAACTAAGGAAATATACAAGTACTAGGTAAATTAGTAGGTAAGTTTGGGTAATGGTAACTGAGAACTTGAAATTGTTATTGTGTTGGCAGCCTTGATCTTTGACCAAGCTTTCCGTTGGTTCTACGCAACGTGAAACTTGTGCAGTGTGAATGCAATAACATGCAAATGGAACACAAACTGCAGGCCTCCACTACACGCACGGGAGACTATCTCGACCTCAATACCTCCACTGGGTTTTGACCTACAGGGATCTTCAAGAAAACAAGTTCTCAAGTAATACTCAACCTTCACAGGGGATCAACGCCTTTCGACTGCTCGGGGATCTGGTCTCACTGCATCTACCTAGAGAGAGACTAGGTTTTATTACAACATTATAAGAATGTATGCTAAGGAAAAGTGGCTCATTTGACGCGTGATATTTACAACTTAAAAGGACTTCGAGGTTTCCTGAATAATATTGATGTCACTGTAACTACAGTTGATGTTACCGTACGTAAGTGTCAAGACAAAGTTGGACTGTAACAGATTCTGCAGTGATCATCAACAATAAATTAATATGCTAAATGCTGTCATGTCACAATACAAGAGGTGGAGAATAACGAGTCTCTCTCCACACAGGTGTCTGGAAATCAATATCTGGTCTTCCATACACATATTAATGACGTCTGCCATAGCTCTGCATTTCTGGAAAGATACATACGTATATAGAAAGATACCAAAGTATTGACCTAAACATGTATACACTTACTGGACAATATCAGAATGGATCCATGGTTTACCTCTCGGGTAATATTGGAGGAATAGCGAGTAATCTTCGAGTACGGGGTCCAAGTACCCCTCGTCCAGACACTGTGTGTTGACAAGTCCTCGACGGTCAGAGCCGCAGCGGCCGCCCACCAGGAGACTCTTGTTCTCGCATCAGTTCTACTCAAACAACGTCAACTAGATCCAAAATCATTTGTGGTATTTGTTGTCCATTGTGTGTACATTGCCAGGCACCATACATACACCATCAGCGGCACGCACCATCAGCACACCATCAGCGGCACGCACCATAACCACACCATCAACCATACACACACAACCACACCATCAGCCACACACACAATAACCACACCAAAAGCCACACCCAATAACCACACCAGTCACACACACACAATAACCACACCATCAGCCACACACACACACACACAATAACCACACCATCAGCCACACACACACACACACACACAATAACCACACCATCAGCCACACACACAATAACCACACCATAAGCCACACACACAATAACCACACCATCAGCCACACACACACACAATAACCACACCATCAGCCACACACACACACAATAACCACACCATCAGCCACACACACAATACCACACCATCAGCCACACACACACACAATAACCACACCATCAGCCACACACACACACACACACAATAACCACACCATCGGCCCCACACACACACAATAACCACACCATCAGCCACACACACACACAATAACCACACCATCAGCCACACACACACACAATAACCACACCATCAGCCACACACACACACAATAACCACACCATCAGCCACACACACACAATAACCACACCATCAGCCACACACACACACAATAACCACACCATCAGCCACACACACAATAACCACACCATAAGCCACACACACACACAATAACCACACCATTAGCCACACACACACACACAATAACCACACCATCAGCCACACACACACAATAACCACACAGTCAGCCACACACACACAATAACCACACCATCAGCCACACACAATAACCACACCATCAGCCACACACACAACCACACCATCAGCCACACCATCAGCCACACACACAATAACCACACCATCAGCCACACACAATAACCACACCATCGGCCACACACACAATAACCACACCATCAGCCACACACACAATAACAACACCATCAGCCACACTCACACACAATAACCACACCATCAGCCACACACACAATAACAACACCATCAGCCACACACAATAACCACACCATCAGCCACACACACAACCACACCATCAGCCACACACACAATAACCACACCATCAGCCACACACACATCCACACCATCAGCCACACACACATACACACCATCAGCCACACACACAATAACAACACCATCAGCCACACACAATAACCACACCATCAGCCACACACACAACCACACCATCAGCCACACACACAACCACACCATCAGCCACACACACATCCACACCATCAGCCACACACACATCCACACCATCAGCCACACACACAATAACCACACCATCAGCCACACACACAATAACCACACCATCAGCCCCACACACAATAACCACACCATCAGCCACACACACAATAATCACACCATCAGCCACACACACACACAATAACCACACCATCAGCCACACACACAACCACACAATAACCACACCATCAGCCACACACACAATAATCACACCATCAGCCACACACACAATAACCACACCATCAGCCACACACACAATAAACACACCATCAGCCACACACACAATAACCACACCATCAGCCCCACACACAATAACCACACCATCAGCCACACACACAATAATCACACCATCAGCCACACACACAATCACACCATCAGCCACACAATCACACCATCAGCCACACACACAATAACCACACCACCAGCCACACACACAATAACCACACCATCAGCCCCACACACAATAACCACACCATCAGCCACACACACAATAATCACACCATCAGCCACACACACAATAACCACACCATTAGCCACACAATAAACACACCATCAGCCACACACACAATAACCTCACCATCAGCCAAACACACACACAATAACCACACCATCAGCCACACACACAATAACCACACCACCAGCCACACACACACAATAACCACACCATCAGCCACACACACAATAACCACACCATCAGCCACACACACACAATAACCACACCATCAGCCCCACACAATAACTACACCATCAGCCACACACAATAACTACACCATCAGCCACACACAATAACCACACCATCAGCCACACACACACAATAACCACACCACCACACACAACCACACCATCAGCCCCACACAATAACTACACCATCAGCCACACACAATAACTACACCATCAGCCACACACACACAATAACCACACCATCAGCCACACACACACAATAACCACACCATCAGCCACACACACACAACACCAACCACACCATCAGCCACACACACACCACACCAACCACACAGCCACACACACACACACAATCACCACACCATCAGCCACACACACACACAATAACCACACCATCAGCCACACACACAACAACCACACCATCAGCCACACACACAACAACCACACCATCAGCCACACACACACACACACAACCACACCATCAGCCACACACACAATAACCACACCATCACCACACACACACACACACACAGCACACACACACACACACACACACCACACACACACACACACACACACAATAACCACACCATCAGCCACACACACACAATAACCACACCATCAGCCACACACACACACAAACCACACCATCAGCCACACACACACACAATAACCACACAGTCAGCCACACACACACACAATAACCACACCATCAGCCACACACACACACAATAACCACACCATCAGCCCCACACACACACAATAACCACACCATCAGCCCCACACACACACAATAACCACACCATCAGCCCCACACACACACAATAACCACACCATCAGCCCCACACACACACAATAACCACACCATCAGCCACACACACAATAACCACACCATCAGCCACACACACACACAATAACCACACCATCAGCCACACACACAATAACCACACCATCAGCCACACACACAATAACCACACCATCAGCCACACACACAATAACCACACCATCAGCCACACACACACAATAACCACACCATCGGCCACACACACACACAATAACCACACCATCGGCCACACACACACACAATAACCACACCATCGGCCACACACACACACAATAACCACACCATCAGCCACACACACACACAATAACCACACCATCAGCCACACACACACACAATAACCACACCATCAGCCACACACACACAATAACCACACCATAACCACACCACCACACCATCACACACACACAATAACCACACCA